AGTAGAAAGCTCAAAACAAGTCAGTCAATCAATCTCGGGGTTTCCACACAGTCAGCAACCGAACATTCACACGTGAGTGGCGAGAACTCGGCTGACCTTTATTCATACGTTAACAAAATCTCACTGAGTGAGATGGAAAAAAAAAGTGTTACATTTCCATAAAACTAGAATAACAAAAGTTTGATCACTTCCTAGTATAAGGCTTTGTCAGATTCAGAGTCGGGGCAGTGAGATCAGGCAGTAGACTGGACCGATGTCAATGAGGAAGGAAGAAGAAAACAAACCCAGTAACACACCAAAGTTCATCCTAGGAGATTCTACCAACCCAACCTCGCACTTCCAAATAACTAAAGTAGCTTAAATGGTCTGCTGGAAGCAGATCCGTTTAAACCAACCGTACACGTGTAGAAGCGCATTGTTCATTCAGAGATCTCTGTAAACCAGACTCCAGAGGCACCATGGGAATTATGAGATATAATGCCTGTCTGCTCATTCAGAGGCCTTCGTCTCTCTTATTCTCCCACCCTCAAGAGAATTGTGGGTCCGTTTCGAAGCTGTAGATCGCAGTAACAGTCTGTTTTCAGCTAGTAAACTGTCTTCCATGGCCAAAGCCGGCCTGGTTAAACTGTTGCCCACCTTGCTGAAAGAATTGTTCAAATTGCCCCCCTTGGTTATAATTCTGCCCTCCTCTTCCACCCCATCCTCCTCCCTGCCCACTTCCTCTTCCTCCTCCTCTTCCTCTACCCCCGCGCCCACCCCTTCCTCCTCTCTCCTGGTGTCGTCCTCCATTCTGATAGTAGCCCTCATGCTGGTAACCTCCACCTCCACCTCCGCCCTGATATCCTCCTCCTGGGTACCCCGGTCCTTGCTGGCCTCCTTGGTAGCCGCCTCCTCGATATCCACCGTCCTGGTAATGACCCTGGTATCCACCTCCGCCAGAGCCGTCCTGCCAGTTCCCCTGCACTTTACCTCCACGGTGTTCTCCTCTTCCACCTCTGCCTCCACCTCCTCTCTCATGACCTCCACGGCCGCCCTGCTGCTGATCGTAACCACCTCGTCCACCACCTCTTCCTCCTCCGCCACCGGAGTAGTACTGTCCTCCGCCACCCCCTTGTGGACCATCCTGCCGTTTCTGCCACGTGGGCATCTCTGGAGGTGGGGCTTCGATCTCATTGGGTCTCCCTCCTCGATCAGGAGCACGACCCATCAGGACCTAATAAACACAAGAATAATAAATTCTCTGGTATGTACACTACCGCTTAGCCTTTTATTTTTAGGAATGAAATTAAAGGGGTCATATGATGCAATTTCAATTTTTCCTTTCACTTTGGAGTGTTACAAGCTCTTGGTGCATAAAGAAGATCTGTAAAGGTTTTGAGCAGTGTAGAGTAGCACTTGTTGTTTGTCATTTCTCCGATCACAAATGCAGACATGGTTTTGTTTACGCGGCACG